ATTGTCACCATTAGGTCATATCTGCGACCCCCAGTCCCGAAGAGGTGCCCTCACAGGTGACCGCCGCTGACGGACATCACATCGAAGACGATAATGTAATTCACTATTTATTGTCACGTTTTGTGTATTTGTTTTTTTTGCCACTCATTTCATGGCTTGTATTCAAACCAAATGAATGAACGAAACAAATGATTGTCTCATTGTTTTGACACATTTTCTCGTTTTAAATGTTTGTCATCTGCGAAAATACTATCACTTTTTGAGTTAAATATGCATTTATTTTATCTATTTTATTAAATGTTAGGATTTTAATGTCAAATAAAACTGTAATTTAGGTATTTATTAGGAATTAGTAGGAATTATAGTCAGTGTCTGTTGAGTGATATATAGGTATTTTGTGAAACGTAAAGTCCGAGGCCTTCACTATAAAGGGGTTATTAAACAACTCAATGATAGACTCGTTTTACTATTAAATATTGTAATAATAATAATAATAATAATAATAGAGGTCTGAAAGCGTGAAAACGTAATGTTTATCGTATTTGATGAGAGTTGACATCATTTTCCCAGAAAATATATATTTGAATAAATGATAAACTGAGCCAAAAACCATTTCATATGTATTTTGATGGCCAATCCTATTACCATGTTTTAAATCTCATTAGAAATACACATTTTAGTATATATGTTATTTTATTGAAATTTTCGGCACAATTTTTTAATGCATTTATTTTTATAAATTTTAATTTTTATAATATTGTATATAATTGTGAATATATTTAACATTTTTGTAAATCAAAAATCCCAATGTCTTTCAATATTGAACGGAACGTAATGTCGGATATGATGTCGACACCGAAGATGTCGACAATGGATGTGGAGAACAGTCGCGACAACTCCGTGGAAGAGATCGAAGTGACGTCTGTGACGAAAGAGGGCCATCCGGTGGGCGATCCGAGCCATTTCTCGCTGCTCCGGGTGTTGGGCGAGGGATCGTTCGGCAAAGTGTTTCTCGTCAAGAAGATTGTCGGTCCCGACGAAGGAAACCTATACGCCATGAAAGTGCTCCGGAAGGCCACCCTTAAAGGTATGATTGCATTTTTTAAAATCATTTTTATGTGTGTCTGCGATATTCCTGTTTGAATACATTTGCCGTATTTTCTGTAATGTTATGCTTTGTGTAGAAAAATGACAATTTATTGCCTGTAATATTAGATAATAATCAGCGCTTAATTGCCGGTAATTCACAGGAATGTTGTTGTATAACATATTAATTATTTGAATGCGTGTTGTATTGCATGTAAAGTATTTGGGAATTTAATTTGATATATACTCCACTTATTCTCTATAAAACCTCTATATATACAGAGGTTTACAGAGAATAAGTGGAATTCCTATCTTATTAGCGCTGATTTATGTTTAGTTCAGGAATTAGTTGTAAAAACTTTTACTAATATCCATTTGAAGCGGACTTGTCTTGCGATCACTTTTGCAAATATGATTTGTTTATTGTTTAACTGTTTCTTAAGAAATGTTTATTTAAAGTGTCCTTAAAATGAAAATGATTTGATTGCATATACAGTACGAGATCGGGTGCGGAGCAAAATGGAAAGGGATATTCTGGCAGAGGTTCGCCACCCATTCATCGTGAAACTCAATTATGGTATTTATAGTTATTACAAAGCATTTCTCTTAAAATGTTTTATTTTAATTTCACTGTTTGTTTATATGATTAATATTTACATAATATTTATGTTTAAATTGGAAAAAATATATAGCGTTTCAAACGGAAGGAAAACTGTATTTAGTGCTCGACTTTCTCAGAGGCGGTGATCTATTCACTCGTCTCAACAAAGAGGTATTATTTGTATTAAATTTTATAATTATGTTTAGAAAATATTCACACTTTTTGTTTGAATTGTATTTTTAGGTTATGTTTACTGAGGAAGACGTGAAGTTTTATTTGGCAGAACTGGCGCTTGCACTCGACCACCTCCACACACTTGGCATCATTTACAGGGACTTAAAGCCAGAAAAGTATTGATTTATTGCAACCGATTGTCTATTTTTATGCATCGATTTTTATTTAATGTTTACTTGTGATTAGTATTTTGCTGGACTCGAGCGGACACATCAGTCTAACTGATTTCGGTTTAAGCAAAGAGTCGCTAAACAATGAAAAGTCATTTTCGTTCTGCGGAACCGTCGAGTATATGGCGCCCGAAATTATCAGCCGTAAGGGCCACACGACAGCAGTGGACTGGTGGTCATTCGGGGTACTTATGTTTGAGATGTTGACCGGAGTGCTGCCCTTCCAGGGACCCAATAGGAAGGAAACAATGCAACAGATTATGAAGTATTTTAATTGCCATTCATTTGTGAGATTGTGTTTTAACGCCAGTATCTGTCCATTGATTGCCCATCAGAGCCAAGCTATGTATGCCTCAGTATTTGAGTCCTGAAGCGCAAAGTCTTCTGCGATGTCTATTCAAACGAAATCCGACCAATCGGTTGGGCTCCGGCCCAGAGGCCGGTCAAGAGCTTAAAAGTCACCAATTCTTCTCAACTATAGATTTCGAGAAATTATTTAATAAAGAAATCACTCCTCCATTCATACCAGCCATCAATCGAAACGACAATTTGTTTTATTTTGATAAAGAGTTTACTAATAAAGCACCAGAAGGTCTGTAGCGTTGCAAATGTCTCTTTGTTTATTTAATAAAGAAATCACTCCTCCATTCATACCAGCCATCAATCGAAACGACAATTTGTTTTATTTTGATAAAGAGTTTACTAATAAAGCACCAGAAGGTCTGTAGCGTTGCAAATGTCTCTTTGTTTCTGTTTGTTTGCAATACTAATTTGTGTTTTTTCTGACCTCAGATTCTCCCGGAGTCCCTCCGAGTGCTAACGCACACGAATTGTTCCGTGGCTTCAGTTTTGTCGCAACGAATCTATTAGAGGAGACTTTAATCCCAAACAACGAGAACAACACAAACGCCACAAACAGTTACGAATCGCCCAAAGCTTCCCAATCGGTGTCCCGAATACTACTCCGGACTATCACTAAATGCAAAGAGCGGTCGCTTCACGACTACGAGTTCTTCGAAGAGTTGGGCAAAGGATCGTATTCTTGTTGCCGACGCTGTGTCCACAAAGAGACCGCCAAACAGTACGCCGTAAAGGTATTGGTTGAATGATTTTGGTCAACATTTGACAGTCTGGTCATAACGTGATATGTATTTACAGATTATCGACAAATCAAAGCGCGATTGTGCCGAAGAAGTGGCGGTTCTCCTCAGATATAGTCAACATTCAAATATCGTTACTCTGCACGACGTATACGAAGACACGACATCCGTCTACCTGTTTATGGACCTCATGTCCGGTGGAGAGCTTTTAGACAAAATTCTTAACCAAAAGTATTTCAACGAACGCGAGGCGAGCGCTGTGTTGGAAGTGATCGCCACTACCATTAAGTTCTTACACGAAAACGGAGTAATTATTTCAATAATAT